CTATATGTAATTGTTCAAGAAGAGGAAAACATTGAGAGATAAGTTTGTATAAATTATGTTCAAAAGGACGTCCATCAGTCATTGTCAAGTATCGGACTGTATCAAAAATATCACCTTGAAAAGAGTTGTTAAGGTGAATAAAATATTCGAATTTGTATGGAAGTGAATAAACATGCGATCCGCCTACATTGTCCTCTGATCTAATATGAACACATGAACCAACTTCTCCACATCCTTTTCCAATAAAACTATGTTGAATGTCTTCATTCGACGAGAGATTAATTTTCATGTTTCTGTTGACAACAGCTGTAAATATATTAAACGTAAATTTGTTCAAATGTGGCATATAAATAAGAATTTGATCATGTAATTCAATACCATCAATAAAAGTCGAGTAAGTTTTTAGTACTGATAAGAATACTGTCAATTTTTCAAGATTTATCATTCGACGAAGTAATGGAATAATTAATTTGTCATAATGGGATACAAACTCAATTGAAGTTAATGAGAAACATTTCAAATTGGGAAGTTTTTTCTATAATGAAAATATAATTAAGAATTTGTTTCTCTTGAAAATACAAGAATTAAAATTATATTTACCCTATTATCTATATTTGATAAACTCAATAATATTTGTTTGACATGAATAATCAATGTTGATAAACATTTAAGATTTCCAACAAGAAGACAAAGACAATCATCAAATCTTGCGACATTAACTTTTAATTTAGTTAAAGTCGAAGACATGTAACTTCTTGATTGTAACTTAAAAATACAAATCAGAGCCTTTCGATCAGAAAACAATTGACAAAAATTCAAACTGATCAATTGTTGACATAAAGATAAAATTAATACAAATATACTTGATAGAGTTTTAGACGCTTCTGATTTTAGCTCATACGGAACATCAATATTAAGATGTGTAATTTGTTGAGTGAGAAGATCATGAAGAATTGAATTACCTTCAATTTAAAGAATAAAGACAATTATTAATTTATGTGACACTATTTCATCATTTTATTAATTAATATGAATAAAATTAACTATTAGTGTACCTGTTAAATACTGCAAAAGTATTTCTTCTTGAAAATTAACAAGTGATAACGAGTAAAGTTGAGGATAATTAAAGGTAAAAAGAATACGTTCCATTGAATTTTGCTCAACAGTAAGTTCATTTAATTGGTGATGAATTTGAGGTAAGATTTTTTCACATATTCTATCAAGAACATGATTATCTATTGAAAAAGTACGATCATAATATGATTTTATAGTCATGTTTGTCGTATCAAGATCGTGAATATGAAGTGCATCAAGTACTAATCGATCAAATCGTTCATTAATATCCATAAGTGAATAGAGAGCATCAACCGTTTTCAGTTTATTGAAAATGATGAATAATATTTCATTGGGTAAATCAAGTATATGAAGATGGTAGATATTTGAATTATTCATTTTAATACTCGCATACTGTTTATTCATTTCGTTTTTATAGTATGCCGACAGAGCGAAAAAAGTATAGCGTTTTAAGCGAATCAATATCAAATGCACTACGCGTGGCAACCCCTTAGAAAATTAAATGGGTCGAGATTTTGATTGATACTGTTAGATAGAGAAAAAATTTCTCTATCGAACTGTATTCTTACTTTTTTTTAAAAAGTGATTAGAACCGAAAAATTATCGATAGGATCTAACTAAGTATTATTATTCTTATTCCTATTGGTTGTTAAAGTCCAACTTACCATTAGTCTAATTAATTAATAATTTTCTCGAGAAAAAAAAATAGGCCCGATAATCTGACTTCATGAGACGATTTGTCTTTTGTCAAGGTACAATTTGATACTAAATAATCCCTCTGAAAACGTGATCGAAGTATTTCAGAAATTAGCGGCACTAAGTGCATAAATGTATTCTCCATTTGATAATGATTTGATCTTTTTTCTCGATTTGTCGGCATACTATTATATATCTCTGACCTTTGCTCGTTTCCGTCTTTGAGAACAATGAAAAAAAAAACATTCATATTATAATATTCGACTACGATGAATGGCTGATGGGATTTTCTATTCTGTCTAACATTTATCATTATTCATCAGTGGTCCGTTCGTCTGGTCATTTTCTTTTATCGCAACATTTATCATGTAGCTTGTTTTTCATAATACATAATGTTATGTTTAGCATAAGATATAGAATATAGATTAGACGTTAGAAGTCTACTTAGAAATTGTCAAACGTATCGTGTAATAAAAGAATACCATTGATTTTATTTGGTTAAACTGAAAAAATAAACATCGCGTGAAAATATAAGAAGTATAGACCATAGTTGGTTTGGTTGGATCTAGAAATGTATGAAATCGACGTTAATCCTGATTAGGAAGACCGAGATTGAAACCAAAATTGAAAGTATACTTGGTATCGAAACTGAGACCAAAATTGTACTTAAATGTTCTATTGCTTCTGAACAAATGGTTTTATATATGATGTCAATCATTATAACATGAGTAAAGAAAGAAGACTAAATATAGTGAGACATTCGTTGACTCAATAAATTGAAGAGCCACAATCTTGAAAGCTTTGTAGAATTCATGTGTGCATATTCTGAAATACCTTTGTCTAGATCGAAACCAAGATTGTAACTATAATTGCAAAAAATGAAATAATTACGACGAGGACCGAAAAAAACTTAGTCTCTCACATATAATAGTGGCTTAACCATGAGAGGAAGCTGGGATGAGCTGAGCCCCTCAGAAATTTTTTGGTTCTCATGAAAAATAAAATTTCTCATTTTCGAAGCAATTCTGAGCAGAGTGAGCAAGATGTATCAGTTCATCCTATTCAACATTCGATATTTTTCTTCGATCAAAGACGAAAGCGACATTCATTTTTCAAATCAACGGAGAAATTGATGAACTTTTCTGATAAAAAAAATTATTTACTTACTTCTGACTGTGGAAAGTTTTCGATCTAATCATAGTAGCCTTAATACACTTTTATAAAAAAGATACGGCGATTTCTTTGTTAGATTGAAATAATCGATCTTATCGAGAACGAGTCTGTGTTCAATAAATATCATTTGGAATTCCTCGCTACAGCTTTTGGCATCGAGTCTAATTATACCCAGGGAGTTAAAAAATAAAAAGATTGGCATTAAAATGATGAAATGGACAAAAAAAATTGTTGTATTTCAAATTCATCGATTAAAATAGGCATTTTCATAATTTCATTGCATGATTTTAATTAAGAATGAAATTTACTGCATGTACTTAATTAAAATGTTGCTTTTCATCAAGGAATTTGAAAAACATCAATTTTTTTGTCTGTTCCACCAACGAAAATGCCATTTTTTTCGTACTTTTGATATAAAATTCACGAAAATCATGAAATATTTTTGATGCTTTCAGTTTATGGGTAGTTGCCTACGTTAGTATTGTGTGCAGGACAATATTGAACTGGAGATAGTTTTTTAGTAATGTGTTCATCTAAAAGGTTCTTGTAAATTATCTCGTGCTAAAAATGCAATTTCGAATTTTCCTTTTGAAAAGTTATTTGCTATGAAATGTAAGGCGCACAGAACCGATTTCTAATGAGAATTTGCTTACCGAAAAAAAATGAAATATCAAAAATAGAGACTTTTCCTTTAAACCGATTCGTGATAGCAATAATCAAAATTTTGTTACAGTGTAATGTTACGATCATCCTCATTGATTCTCAGAGGATACTAGTCTTGGCTAGGATATCTTATAGTTAAAATATCTTTTCGAATCTGCAAGACAATGACGTGTTATAGTCAATTCATTGGTCTAAAATACTCTTTATGTGGGCAAGGTCTTCAAAGTGATGATCCGAACTGAGCATGTCGGGATGGTTTTAAATTGTAGAGTACCATTAACGCTAGGTACTAATAGAGCCAGATTTTTTAATGTTCCTCCTTTCAGTTTTTATAAAACTTTTTCGAAAAATTCTCAACTTTTTGTTCACAGAAATTGGTGAAGAAAAACAACGATCGAAGTTTTTTATTTCAGCGAAAGAGAAATTCAAGAATCAGACTCTATTACGACCCACCTCTAGCTGTCTGTTATATAACAAAAAAACTACTATTCTTATAAGTGAGTAGTTATCATGAGAGATTTGCCCACGTAAACGGTACTATCAAAAAAACTTATTTTAAGAAAAAGACTAAATCGGTTTTAGAAATCAATATTTTGTGAAGCACACATGAATTATATGTGATCTTAATATTAATTGTTAATAGTCTCGCAGTGATTATCATAAAAAAAAACTTGTAAAAACACTTTGAAAATTTCTTGAAAAATATAATAGTAAGGGTCAAGTTAGAGGCGATAAGTTCGTCAAAATCAATTCATTTTGCGATAAGCCATAGATATTCGAAAAGAAAACATTTCGATGCATCTTCCTATGATGGAATTTCAACCGGAACTTGTCTTCAAAAAATTAAATTTTCTAAAGGAAGTCCCCTTAATGAATGGACAGAAACTATAAATAAATGTGTTGATGAAGATAAATTGATTTTGAAAATCTAAATCACATTCATGATATTAGTACTTTGTATGAACAAAGAAGATTGAATTTTCCACATAGAAACATATATAAGAGCAAAATAAAAAAAATTTTTGTTATTAATGTTAATAATAAGAAAAAAACAATCAAATAAAATGGCAAAATTAGTATTTAAAGACAAATAGTCAATAGAAAATGATCTTTTTATTTGCTGGTACTTTTAGAGTATAAACCCTAGCTGATATATAAACTACAATAGAATGTTGAATTATTATTGATTCATGAGTTATTTATTGTTCAAAATAGTATTCATGAAGAGAAACTGAAAAACAATAATAGTAGTGAATTATAGGTTTTATGATGCATAGTGCTTATAAATTATTTTGTATTTATACTAACATTAGTAATATCTTTAATCCCTGTGCAAGACCTACTCTATATATTCTACATATAGTAGAAAAGGTCAAAATCATATTTGTAAATAGTAATATAGTTCTGAAATATAAAAAAATCATTGCAATGAATCATCTATTTATTTCAATAAAAATTTGTCAATCGATTTATATTAATTCTGAATATCAATATAACCTTGAATTGTCCAATGAGTAGATGGAAAAATAACATTTAATGTTTTAATATGTTGAATGCCTTCTAATTCCATATGAATAGGTTTAAATTTATTATTTCTTCATGTTGGTGAACGAAAAAAATTCGATCATAACGTTGAGGTATACTATTATTTGTTATATTTTAATTTAATTTAAGATCAAATGTATACGTTGATCTGTCATTTGTCATAAACAGGGGCGGCGCGAGCGGGGGGAGGGTACTTCCCAGTTTTTGAAAATTTTCGTTTTTCTGCTCATCGATTTTCGAAAAATTTGTAAAAACTTTCCCCTACCCTACCTCAACATTTGAAGTTCGGTACAGTTTTTCACATCTCCTCCCATTTTTCGAAAAGACCCCCCCCCCCCCCCCCCTGCTTTGACCTCTTCACGCCGCCTCTGCTTGCAGACGATAGTTAATTACAATTAACTATCGTTTTACAAGATTTTTTTGAGGAGTTCATATAAAGATTAGAAATTTATTATGCGAGTATTTCTCGTCTTATTTCATTTACGAATGTGTGACAAATATAAATCATACACTGTTCGAAAGAGAAGAAAATTTTCTATCAACTGATAAAAAAGTTATCGCTCCAGCACGTGTTTAAAGAGAAGATAGAGTACTCAACCTTTCGTGTCGTTATTGTGCAATACACAAAAAGTGCAGAATTATTTTTAGGATGTCTCTATTTATTTTTATACAGTTCTCTTTATAAATGTCTGGTAAAAATAAGTTATATATGGTTCGAAAGAGTACAAAATTTCCTGTTGATTGCTAAAAAAAATTTCTTTCTAGAGCCTTGTCTATAAAAAAAAATACAAAGACCAACATTTAGTGCCATTACTTTTGCATCGGACGTTATCTAAAATACGAACGACTATGTTTATTTATTCAACTAAAATTAACGATTCTCTTTGTTTGATATGAATAATGTAATATGATGAATCATTTTCTTTTTTTTAGTCAAATATTTAATAATTAAACTTTGTGAAAAAGAACAAAACAGACTCGCTTGTAATTTTACTGAAATAAAAACAAAACAAAAAAAAACTAGTATTTTTTTTTTAACATGTTCTTAATTGTTGTAGTTTTTCAATGGATGCAACCCAATGTAATCGATAACGATCAAGTTCAGCTATAATTGTTGAACAACGATTTTCAATATCAGATAATGTTTGAGAAAATACTTCTTTATATCTCTATAATAAATACAAGAAATTTATTATACAAAAAAATATTAGAGAAAAAAAAAAGTTTAACCTGATAAGCTTGATTACGTTGTGCTATGGTTTCCATTTGAGGTAATGTTGTCTTTTGTGTTACAATAGAAGCTGATGTTTTTTGTCGTTGACTTGCAC